GATGGGGGAGTGGGTATAAAAGGGCACCAGCGGCTTGGGGCCGGTGCGCAGAGGTGTATTAGGGTTTAGAAGACATCACCTCACGTTCCCCGAGGCTGTACGAGAACCCACGTTGTGGCAGGGTTCTTCCAGGAATGACCTGGGGGCGCTGGAGCGTCGCTATTTGCATCCTGGTACTTCTCTGTTAGCTAACGCGGACCGCCGCTCGCACTGAAGGCGGTGCTTGGCAATGAAAGGCGGCAGTATCTTAGGCATGTGGGCATGGGTCTATCAACCGCCGCTGACCGGTCTCCCGAGTAATACTAGCAGAGCTACTAGCTGTCGCTGTGTGAGCCGCCAGCTAACCACACCAAGGTTATGCTCCTAGTCTTTCGTAGAGTCGACGGCCTCGTCGTGGCGCCTCCCCGCACACCGCCATGTGCACGTTGAGCGTGACAATGTCAGCTCCTCCGCTCGTCCTGGGCGCCATACAGAACGCGGCGTAGTTGAGCACGTTTCGCCGTGCAGATCTGACTCGGCGTAGCCCACGAAGTCGCCCGCCAACGGTCCGAGCGAATTGCTTCAGTACGATGAACACGCACTGCTTCTTCAATGCGATGCCGGGCCGGGAGCTCTCGCCGTACGTGTCAAGTACGTAGTTGACAAACACAGCCCGACAGCGCCTGGCGGGTGTGGCGAACGCATGCTTCTTCTCCGCATCTACTGGGCTCGAAGGCTATGTCCTAGCGGCTACGAAATGCCTCACAGACGCAGACGTACTCTGGAGCCATCCTGCACGGCATCGCGCAGCGTCGCGAGGATGTTCTTATCGCTAGCGACGAGGACCCGCCGGACTGTGCGCTAGAGTCAGCCGCTCAGATGGAGCGGAGATGGAAGGGCCTGCCGAAAAGAAGTTATATGTGCGCTCTAATAAGCTTCTGGGTGCGTATGGGTCGTTCAATAAACATAATGCGGTATACACGCCGTGGTTGCGGACCGCAGAGAGCGGGTGCACGGGCGTAGTTGACACGGCAGGAGTGAGTTGGCATCTTCCTGCGCGAATAGCGAGCACAGACATATAGGGACTTTGTTCCCGTCCGTGTCGAGTAGACGCCAGCGCGGCCCATTCGGGCGAGCATGGCAAGACGCACCGCATGCATCGAGATATGTCCCTTCCCGTACGTTGTGCCGCGCGACTCGTATCGAAAACCTGGCCGGTGGACGGCGACACGGACGACCCCTTGTTGACGCCCACGAAAGCTTACCCGTGTCTGATGCCCACAAAAATCGGGTTGTCAGCTATGCTGCGACGTGGAGGCAGGCGACTTGAGCACTGACCTCCTTTTACAGCTCAATACACTGGGAAGCGGCTTCGCGTACTACATCTGCGGCTTGAGCGAGTGCTCGTGACTGAGGTCAAAACACGCGACTAGATGAGCAGCTGTTTGAACAGCGGGCTGTTCTCGAAGAACCGCTCGAGTGCTTGACAGGTGGACTGGCATACTGCTTGTGAAATTAAACTTTGCCGTCAGATTTCACGTATTCAGCGTGTACGCCGTAGGTAGCACTCACAGTCGTAATCCGTCTGTCTTCGGGAAGCGCTCAAAATCCTGGTAGAAAAGTATTTTCGCCGAACGAGGAACATAGATCGCAGGCCGCTCATCTCGGAGTGGAAGGCGGAGGAGAGTATCGGCGGGGAGCTTGAGGTCGAGGTGGGCGCGCAGATGGCCGCCTTGCAGGATCGGCCGCCTAGGATCAGTGGCGTGCAAAAAGCTGACTGAAACTCTTGCTTTGAGTAACACATTGAGAGCTTGATGATGACGTCAATATCTTACACTATTCAAAAACAAGCAGATCAGCATTCCACGATGATAGCGAACGACGAGAGCCCGTGCTTACCGACACACTTCATCAGACTGACCAGTGGAAAGGACTCTACAAGACGATATTTTCCAAAAATACCACCTGCAGAGGTTCCTGGCCGACAGATTTCCATTCTAAACAGACTGGAAAAACTCCGGGAGCTCGAGGTGGTAATGTTGCGCCCGGGCAGAACTTCAAGAATACGGCTCGTCCTATGTCCATCCGCAGGCAGAGCCCGGGCAGGGACGTGCTAGTCTGATCATGAAGTTCTGCTCTACGCGAGAGCTCTAGCAGTTTTGTAAGCCAGTTATCAGAGCAGACACCATATTGGAGAGGGCTCAGAGTTCGGGGCAGATGACACGACAGTGAGTACGATCGTGAATTTGGCGTAGGCGTCCGGGCACCCGACGTGTTGTTTATGGACCAAACAAAGCCACGCGAGTGCTGTGGCCCGCTCGAGTCGGAGTCGCCCGCCCTGCGCTCTGGTGCTCGTTCCGTCTTCCCTTGCATCGCGGGTCCTGCCTCGACGCGTCTATCGCTCTCCTCTGCTTGCATGACAAGACGTGCTTCTGTTCTCCGCACTGCTCG